CGCGAAGAAATGTATATTTGACTCGTCAGAAATCAAATTTTTGGAGACATAACTTCAAGTGAAGGAATCAAGCCGGACGAAGAACTCGTGAAATATGTTGCCAGTACGCCAACCCCCACATCAAAGCAGAAAGTAAGAAGAATGTTAGGCACGGTGAATTACTTTGGAAATTGCCTTCCTTGTTGTCTGAAAAAATCGCGGCATTGCGCAGTTTATTGTGCGAAAATGTGCGTTTTGAATGAATCGGCATTCACCAGAAAGAGTGGGAAAATATTCGCACGTTGCTAACGTCAGCACTCGTCCTGGCAGTGTTCGACCCACACAAAGAAATCAAGACTAGCATCAATGCCTCCAGAAATGCCCTAGGAGCTGCACTTATGCAATATCACCATAAGGGCTGGCGGCCAGTGATGTATGCATCACGTGCGCTCACAAAGACCGAAAGCAGATATGCGCAGATAGAAAAGGAGGCACTGGGAATCATGTTTGGATGTGAGAAATTCACAGAGTTTATAAGTGGAACAAAAATAACAGTAGAGACTGACCATCAGCCTTTACTAGCAATAGCGAAAAAGGAACTCTGTGAAATGCCTCCTCGTCTGCAGCGATGTTTTTTGCATCTAATGCGTTTTGAATTTACCTTGCAGTTTGTCCCAGCAAAGAAACTACTGCTGGTCGACGCACTCTCTCGGATCCCTGTTCACGACAACATCAAGAAAAACGAAGATGAGGACGTCAACGTACATGCTGCCCAAGCCCTGTCAAGCCTTGTGAGTGACAAGATAAAAGCAATGTTGCAGGCAGCAACGCAACAAGAGGAAAAGCTGAGGCAAGTCATGGCATACCTAAAACAAGGTGAAATGATTGGTCCATTCACGGCAGTGAAATCGGAGCAATCTTATGTGGATGGAATATTAACGAAAAGCAGCAAAGTGGTCATTCCAAGGCAATTGCACAGAGATATGCTGGGACGCCTGCATGAGGGGCATCTTGGCCTCAACAAAATGAAAGCAAGAGCACGGCTTTTTATGTATTGGCCGGGCATGCAGAAACAAATTGAAGTGTTACATGCGATGTACAGCATGTGCTGCCAGTTTGCTTATCGTCAACTGTCAGAGCCAGTAATCAGCAGCCCTGCCCCAAGCTTTTAAGTGGGGAAGGGTCGGAATAGATCTTTGCGAACACTCCGGGACATCATACTTGGTCGCGTACGACGCATATTTGAATTATCCGGAAGTGGAGCGCCTAGTGCAGACATCGAGTGAAAGTGCCATAAGGAAACTTGAAATAATATTTACAAGGCACGGCATCCCGCTGGAGATACACACCAATGGGGGTCCGCAATTCACCTCCAGTGCTTTTCGTAATTTTTCACGAGTGTGTGATTTCTCCCATGTGATTTCCAGTCCCAGGTTTCCAAGAGCGAAAGGTCTGGTCGAAAAAGGGGTACAGGTGGTCAAACGCCTCCTGAAGAAGATGAAGAGTGCCAGGGAGGCGTTTTGGGTGGCTCTCCTAAACTATCGTCTGTTACCCCTAGAGGGCGGCATGAACCCGGCTGAAATGCTGATGGAGAGGCGGCTCCGCGGACGCCTACCAGACTTTCCTATTCAACCTGCAGCAGAGGTGAAGAAGCACATGCAGAAACCCAGAGCTGGCACCTCGCTCTTAATATCGGACAGGGGAAATACTGTGCGCATTTTGGACGACGCCGAGTGGATTGTCAAAGCCGCCATAGCCACCATTCAGGAAAACGTCGATCCTCGGTCTTATGTGCTTAGGACCGAAGAGGGGCACACCCTAAGACGAAACAGGCAGCACATCCGCAAAACAGGTGAAAGGTTCATGCTGCGTGACACAAAAGAGGAGTACGAGGACAACTGTCAGGAGCGGGATGCAGGAAAACCACAGCCAACAGAGGTCTACACTCCCTCAAGCTGTGTCTTGCAGTCAGGCTCAACAGGAGCAAGCAGGGTGGACCGTCCAGAGATTGGCGAAGATGCAGTGCAACCAAGCGGTGTCGTCCAGCCAGGCTCAACCAGAGAAAGCAGGGATAACCATGCAGAAATAACGCCAGCAGCCGAAAATGCCATGCCATCAACCGCTGTTCACCATCCAACTATGATGCGGGCCATGGCCCCCGAGCAAGCTGGAAACCACCTCAATAACCAAGGAGCAGTGGCAGGTGCAATGATACAGGACAGTGTGTTAGAGAATCGACTCGCAACAAGCGCCCGCCAGCGCCGCTTTCATATGCAAAGGACTTTCAACAATTATGTAGATGTGGCTGGTTTTTTTTATTAATCATTTTTTGTTCTATTTGCTGTTTAATTGTTTATTTTTCCCTAAGGAGGGATGATGTATCAGAATGTGGTCCAGCAACTGTAGCCGGTTTGTCAAGCATAAAAAGAGTGTGCGATAATAAACCAGGGTTCTTATCGCCTTGTCAGTCTCCAGCTCTCTGTCGTCAGTCGAAGCACTGTTGTCCCAAAAGCTCGCCTTAATTAACACAGCCAAACGCCACATCTGCATACAGCATGCCCTGTTAGGGGCAGCATAGCATTAGGCCTAGATTGGGACAAAGGCCTAGATTCGGACTAAGACCTGCAACGCAGCGGAAGGTGCTAAGAATCTTCGGGTTTGAACAGCCCACCATTGAAATCTGAACTTGGCTACGTTTAAAGCTACAATGTTATCTAGTGAGCCTAGTCTAGCTGTGCTGTTCGAGGTATTAGAAAGTGTGCAATGGGATGTAATAGGGCTCAGCGAAACTAGAAGGACACATGAGGTTATACAGTGCTGAAGAGCAAACACGTCCTGTGCTAACTTAGATTAGCTGACAGAAAAGAACTAGGGGAGGGGTCTTATGCACACAAGAATACCACTCGCAGCATAAAAGAATACTATAGCATCAGTGAGAGGGTGGCAAGTATCGTAATAAAGTTTAACAAAAAGTGCAGGATGAGGGTGGTAGAGGTCTACATGTCTATCAATCCATGACAATATACTATTGTGACGGGTGACTTTATGTCAAAGTAGGCAAGAAACAAGCCAGAGACCATGGAGTGGAGGATTATAGAATCGGCTCTAGAAAAGCCAGAGGGTAGTTGTTAGTAGAGTTCAAAGAACGTAACAATTTACAGACCTCGGATACCTTCTACAGAAAATGGGCTCGGGTTGATTGGCAGATCATGAGAAAAGCCTATGTCCTGCAGTAGGCATAGTCAGGCTGCTGCTGATGATGATGACTCCGCAGTATATAACAGTTGTTGACTTTTCCCACCCGCCTTCCCTTTGCAATATTCAAAAGATCTTTTATTTATGTGGCGAAGCTGTTTTTGCGGACCCTTCACAGGTGTCGTTCGAGATCCATAGCCTTTGCTAAGACACAAGTGATCTAATGTGGAGACGAGGAGTGACTAAGAGAAGAGTTTCTAAAATTTAAAAAAAAAAAAATCACAGCATATCTACGAAGTGAATGATGATCAGAAGGGCGAAGTGATGGAGGGTTTCAACGCTAAACCGTGAACCATCCGGGGATATTGCACACTACATCCTCAAAAACATGAAAAACACTGTATATATTTATACAAGAAATTTTATTATACGTCGCTTCTGTTCCTTCTTCATTATAACAGTTTTATGGTCAGTGAAGTGGTGAATCGGTGATGGGGCGTAGAGGAACGTTTGCAAAAACGAAGAAGTGGGCAGTTTGCAAAGGTGGAACTGTGGGCGGTCATGTACAAACAAGGTATGGACACAGTGAGACAATCTATGGTTCTTTAACGCGCACCTAGATACAAGTACACGACCACCTTGCATTTCATATTGGCTACTTCTCAACAGTATTTGCTTTATGATTGGTGAAGTTGTGGATCGGCAATGGGATGTAGTGAAAAGTTTCCAAGGACGGAGTAGTGGGCAGTTGGCAAAGGTGGAACTATAGGCGGTCTCTCTCTCTCTCTCTCTCTCTCTCTCTCTCTCTCTCTCTCTCTCTCTCTCTCTCTCTCTCTCTCTCTCTCTCTCTCTCACACACACACACACACACACACACACACACGCACGCACACACACGCACGCACGCACGCACACACACACACACACACACGCACACGCACACACACACACACGGGATGTAGTAAAAAGTTTCCAAGGACGGAGTAGTGGGCAGTTGGCAAAGGTGGAACTATAGGCGGTCTCTCTCTCTCTTTTTCTCTCTCCCTCTCTCTCTCTCTCTCTCTCTCTCTCTCTCTCACACACACACACACACACACACACACACACACGCGCGCACACACACACACACGCACAAGGGATGAACAGACACATGCCTTTAGGAGCTTCGCCTCTAAAAAGAACTTCTTAGACCTGGTAAGGTTTGAGCCCACTTCTTCACGGTCCAAAGACAATTGTCATAAATACTGGGTAATAAAACAACCCTTGCACAACATGCCCTTATTGGATGCATGTAATTGCGATGTACCGACAATGACGTGACCAAAGGAAACATCCTCATTGCAGGGTTTACCACGAGTGAACGCATTGCTGCACGGTGGCGGCACCAGCGCTCCTTTATATTTTACTACGTGGGTGTGAAACACGCAGCGCTGCATCGTGTGCGCTTGCACAAGGCACTACGAAAGTGATGACCACGATATGACACTACCAGTAAATGTCATGCACGACGGCACCAGCAAAAGCACTAGCAATGTTGCTTGTGCCCCAGTGCAGCCATGATAGTATTACATGATTTAGGCAAATGAGCCGGCGCAATGGGTCACAGCCACACCCGCATGCTACCGTACCATTCAACTGCATCCATGAATGGCTACATCATCATGTCGTCCTAGCCTGACGAATGAGGAAACAACAAATAAATCCCCCGTGAGAACTATGGCCAGGCCTTAGGAGCAATATAGTGAAAATATCAACAGCTCCACACTTTTCGTAATGTAGCACTAGTTCAGAAACTATAAAAACTTCTACACACGTTTGATTCCTACCTGTGATGAGACAGCTGAGAGAAAAGATGTGCTTGACACAGAGTTGGAATCACCATCAGCGTCCTGCTCCTTGGCATAGCGTCGTCGGTCGAGACTGGAGCTGGCCGAAGATGAGCCTCGCACACAAAATGAGCGTCGCCTGCGGTCTTGATCCCCATCATCTTGTAAGCGCCCCACAGCCATGCCGTCTTCGTCGGCAGAGAAGAATGCCTCTGAGGAGTGGGTAGAGTCTGTGGACACGGCACGCCGCACAGCCGAGCCATTGCTACGCCTACGATCGGTCATGTCATCAGCTACTTCTCGAGAACGGCTGTCAGGCCTGCAAACCACAATCGCTTAGCTTTTTTTTACCACCACTCAGAATGTTTTAAAAGAAATGTGGCATTTCTTTTAAATTTAAAAATAGTTTATTCGCTGCGAACTAGCAAACATACTGTGCAGCACATTCACCATAAGGCACAGAAGAACACAATTGAAAAGAACACCAACTGCCAAATGCTTCATTTTCATGCTTTTTAAAGCTTACATAAGGACAGGTGACACAGAATTTGTTGCTGGGCTAGCTGGTGCATAGCTATAATACAGGAAAGTGGCACAACAGAGGAATAAGATGACGATGAGGGAACAAGTACTTGTGCACTTGTACAGTCGAATCTTGATAATTCAAACTCGAAGGGGACCGAAAATTTGTTCGAAATAAAAGAAGTACGAATTAATGAAATTATTGAAAGCAAAGTAAACGGAGGGCTCCCTATGCAGTGACGCATGTGCATTGAGCTAACACACGAAGGGGAAGTTTCAGATGACTTACATTTATTCACAAATCCCAAGACATCCATCATTATTTGAAGTAATCGGTGATGCGCATCTGCACACGTTTGCCTTGCAGCGAGTAAATCAATTTCGCACGCAGCTTGCCAAAGCATGTCTACTTCGGCTTCAGCATTCTCCTGGCAAGACAAGTTGCACAGCAATGTCCAGCACCGCAACACTCTCAAAAGACGACAACGACTGCATCTTCGCGACTGCATCTACGCATCAGTGGTGGCCACCAGTGGCTACTAGTCATACCCTGAAGTCTTTGCTCTGACATATGCGAGTCGTTTCACTCTGATCTGCAATATACGCACCCCTTAGTATTGAAGACTTATCACTGCATTCGCCAACAGTGCTTTTGGCGAGGGATACACCGCTACGTGCAGAAATTCATTTACTCCTGCATAAATTATCAGCAACGCAAAGAAACGCAACTGCTGTCGCCAACAGGTTTGCTCTCTCTATCTTTCCCTGACCCATCGTTTGGGCGCGTTGGCATCGATTTGTAGGGGCCACTTCTGCTAACATCAACTGGTAGCTGCTAGGCCATCGTCGCTGTAGACCACCTCACGCGATACGCCAAAACTGCCACCCTACCTGCGGCTACAGTGCACGATGTGGCCTCCTTCCTGCTCTAAGGATTCAAGCTGCTTCACAGTCTGCCCCAGGAACTGCTCAGTGATCATGGCCATGTCTTCCTTGAGTCTTCCATTTGAGTCTTTGCCACCCCATTGTCATCATCATGGTCATCCAACACCCACAAGCGATGATAAAAACAGTGAGGAATATAAGATAGCAGCGGTTCATGGTGTGACGAATCATTTTTGTTTCGATGCTCTTCTGAACAGTAATTCTGAAATCGATGCCGGACCAAGCAGCGACGGGGCAGCTGAAGACGCATACTTGGGCCACGCTGGCTAGTGAGATACTGAAAAGCTGCATGTGTACTACTTGTTCGCAATGACCGTAGATTCAAATAATCACATTTGCTCTCACGACTTCCTGACAAATCACCTGAAATGGCACAATAAAAATGCAGGATTTACATGAACGTACCAAGAAGAACAAAGCAAGTGGAGCTGTTTGAAATTCCACTTGCATTAGATAGTAGTATGTAAACTCTTATTCACCGGTAAAGGCTAGGCACCGCGTACACAAAACATTTTTTGCACAGAATCGGCAGAGCTGAAACTCTCGAATGCGAACGTGGATTTATATATGAAGACGTATGTCACCTTCTCATAGACTGTCCACATCATGCCACGCCGAGACGTCGTCTCAAATAAGACCTGTTGGCATTAGACCGCAGACCGTTTAGCATGAATAAACTTCTGGGCCCATGGCCAATTGGAGTTTTACAGACCTATGCTCTAAAGGTGTTAACACGCTTCTTACAAAAAATAACAAACTTTCATTTGTATAACACACGTACTTATTATGTGCAGTATCATATGACAACCATCATATGTGTGTGCAGACCTGAATGACGTATCGACTGCTTTGTACACACAAGTGAATACATCTTCATAAGAACCAGCATGTGCTCTGCTGTTTTGTGCTGGTTGGATCAAATATTAAGGAGGGACATTATGAGACTTCACTTGTTGACATTTTAACATTTTCTTATCATTGTGTTGTGATATGTACGTATGTGTTTTTGCATATGCATGCTCGGGTGTTCTATTTTCTATGCACTGTTTTGTATGTTTTCTTTTAAGATACATGTTCAACTTTCACTCAAGGCCTAAGGAGTAGCCGGCGCCATACTTGCGCACCAACATCTCCTTATATATCACATCAATTAAAAAAAATAAAAAACACATTATATCTTTGGGAGGCACCCTAAACACAGTACAATGTCCGCTCTTGCGACACAGTGAGAAAAGGGCTCCCGCAAGCGGACATTTACCAAAAGGAGAAACCGTGAGCCTGTCACAGCTGGCAATGGCGAGCTTTGACAGGCCACTTGGGAAAAGGTCTCTAGTGGGTATGGTTCGCACTCCCATGATGACCACTGGGCCTGGTCGCAAGAGCTAGGGAAAATGTCGTTTGTGTAAGGCTCCGGCAAGTTCGGCTTAGAGTAATACAACTATGCACAAGCACTAGGCTTGGCTCTTTAGCTTATCACATGTTACTGCAGCTAGCACAATGGTAAAAACTACGGCCAAAGATGCCAAGGAAACCAGGCAGGCTATAAAAAGCTTTTTTAACCATCTGGCGATTCTCAAAGTAGATGCAGATGAAAATAAACATGTGCTTATATACCGTGTGCTGCCCGAGAAGACAGAAAAGGTTCCCGGTGTGCACGTGACTCGGTCTCCCAGACTCTCAAGGCTCGAGACCATGTGCCGAAAAGTGGCATCAAGCAAATCGAGAGAGTTGGGAAACAGCCAATCTTGCCATCGAATACATCAGTGGCACGTTAAAATTTTTAACGAGGAGCCCCCATGTTGATTTTCAAATGTCCATGTAGGGCAGCAATGCAAACAGTAGAAAAGGGTTTTTGCGCACCCAAAACTAAGACATTTTTTCACGTCTGGATTGAATTGGATGATGCACAAAGTACAGGTGGTCAATGCTACCTCCATTTCTGGCTAAAATTAGCACAAGTGAAACAATGCTGAAGCCAGTCAGAATTTTTGGCCTAGCATGGCGCAATTTCAATCAGTTTTCACAGTTGTGGCTCAGTTTGGCATAAAAATAGGCTAGTGTATCATATTGGTGCAGCTGGCAAGGCTGCTGCACACCTGTGTAAGTTTTAAAGCACTGCATTTCAATATATCCACATGTACAGACCACCAATATGCAGCAAACCTTGTTAACTTGAGAGCAGACTACCATGTGGGAAATAAAAAAAACGTACCCATCATATGCAGAAGCAGAGCGGGCAAAGCTAACAGCAGCAGACTGACGATGTGCTGGGCTGCTGTGCTGGCGGTATGAAGTCTGGCGAGACTCTTCTTCTCCCTGCCCTGCGTCACCCTGACCAAGAAAAATAAAAGCAAAAACAGGTGATTTTGCAAGCATCCTTAGATCTTGCAAGTGCCACCACCACTAGAGCAACGAAGCTCAATACATGGCATGCCACCAGATGGCTAGCTTATAATGGCACACAATTAGAGTGTTCAAGAGCACCCACCTATCCACCCATCCATCAAGGGCGTACGTCTGGGTGGTGTCGTGATCACACCATTACCTTGAAATTAGTCAAAATGAGTATGGGAGGGTCAGATAGTTTGAGAAATATGACTCGCTGGTCATGGCATGAATAATGTCACAATCTTGTTGCGCATGTTGTCAAAATCTTTCTGCCAGACGTGTGGCACATACCACTATGATTAAAATTGTCATAAACTTGGAAATTTCAACGTGAGGCCCTTAAGAAAAAAGCTGACACCAGCAGTGTCGGCCTCATGAATACAAAGAATAAACGTTGGTGTGCCAGCAAGAATCAACCCCATGCATTCGGCACAGCAGTCAAGTATTCCACCACACCCTAGGTCTCGATGCTGGTCTGGAAAAATACATCATTAAGGAGTATTATTGGTGAAATGTCAATCGTAGCTGCAATGCTGACTATCCAACTATAGAAACAGCACACATGTACTTCTACAAAACAACTGTGACATTGGGTTAATGTCAATTGAAGTTAAGCATGTGGGGTCTCAATATGGCGAGCGAGCACCACGCCACGCTCTTGGAGTGAACGGACACCGTTGACATGGTCGGTACACATCAAACAATACATACACACATTTATTTAACTACTTTTATAACTACGATGTCATCCGCCAAATGATACATCAATCGTGATCAACTCACTAAGACATCCTAAAACACACAATTTCCATACACTCCAAAACGTGACAAATACACAATAACACACCCAAGGCGGCGTCGCCAATGCTCGACTTAAGACGTGGGTCCCCCGGCGCGCAGGCCCGCGGTGCCCCGCGCTGAAGACCCACGCTAGAGACAACCGTTCGCGGCAGCAGCCACGCGCAAAAGAGACTCGCTCAACTCTCACCCGCCACCAAGGTTGCTTCCCACCAGGGGTCATTACCGGCACTAGCACTGTCACAACCATGATGATGATGACAGTAGTAGTCAACGCCACCTACCACCCGGTAGTTGTAAACCGAAATGCGGCTTTTTGGTGAGACACGGGGGCCACACGGTGCAAACAACTTCCCAAGGGGTGTCAGCACACCCACATTCCTTCAACCTTAAATCAAACCATATACCGAAAACAAAAAGCTAAGCTACACAAGCTTTAACAAAACAATGACATCACATGTCCATAATGTCTTTGCACCACGACACCGCCGCCGGTCGACAATGCTGCACTGTTCGGCTCGACTTCACCTCAGTAACGGCCCCGCAACATCAACGTTACCGTCGGCGCGACGAACCGTCGCTAGCACCGACACACCTTCCAGCTGTGACCAGCACTCATGAGGGCGCCAGACTGCAAGCAGTTGCGCCGGTCTCAGGCGTCTCCATCGCCCGACCGCATTCCTGGCCAGCGGCGCTGACGATGTGCACAAGACAGCCGGCCATGGATCACATCACTCCCGCTGCGTATATTCCAAACACTCAAAACAAGGGAGCAGGGCCTAGAAAGGGAGCTTCGGGCTTTTCGCCCATGTGGTACAATGGTCAGTACGGCTAGCTAATACATCGGCATCAGCAGAGACGTCCATCAAAAATAAAACAAAGTTTAGTTTTCCGAATTCGTGCATTGCAAGATAAAAAAAGAGAGGGAAGCAGAGTGCAACACCTCAAAGCCACGATCTACCTAGTTGTGCCACGTGTGACAGGCGGCTACGCTGAGCCTTAGACCTAATGAGTAGCTCGGCAACAACCGGCTTCCACCCAGCACCCAGCCTAGGTGCAGAAGAGGCAGCCGCGAGGAGACGTCCACTCTGTGAGGTGGCCCTATCACTCGCCGCACACAGCAGCTTACCGAGCGATCGGCGTCCACCGCCCCGGGCGGTGTCACGATGCCCCGGCGTCAAGCCGCAATACAATTCAGCAACGACGCCCGGCTCCCTGAGCCCAGAGAGACAGAAGAACCATGCAGCACGAACATACGGGATTCAGCGTCATGGTTGTCAGACTGGATGACGTCGATGATAGTGCGCACTGACTCATCCCATCATTATTCACTACTCATATCGCTGATATCAGTAAACGCCATCATGCTGCTCTCCAGGTCAGTCACAACGGGATCAGGAGGGTCCACCGGATGACGAGAAAGACAGTCTGCATCCTTGTGCGAACGGCCAGATTTGTAGTTGACGCTAAACGAAAATTCCTGAAGCCTCAAAGCCTAGCGACCCAGACGTCCAGTCAGGTCCTTCAGAGAAGTCAGCCAGCAGAGTGCGTGGTGGTCCGTAACGACGAAGAACATACGGCCGTATAAATATGGCCGGAACTTGGCGACGGCCGAAACTAAAGCTAAGCACTCTCTCTCAGTAATGGAATAACTCCTCTCAGGGGGAGAAAGCAGGCGACTGGTGTAAGCTATCACGCACTGTCTGCCGTGGTGCCGCTGAGCGAGAACTGCGCCAATATCGTGGCCGCTGGCGTCGGTGCGGACTTCTGTGGCAGCAGAAGGATTAAAGTGGGCAAGTATGGGGGGCGTAATTAGGCAGCCGATGAGAGCGGTGAATGCTTGAGCCTGCTCAGGGCCCCATGAGAATGTGGTATCCTTCTTCAGCAAATCTGTGAGTGGCCTGGCAACGTCGGCGAAGTTTAAAACGACGAAAGTAGTAACATAAGCTCCGGACGTCCGGACGGAGAAGCTCCGGACGTCCGATGAAGCTTTGGAGGTCCGATGTAGAACAGGGCACCGGAAAGCTACGGACGGTGGGGATCTTTTCGGGATCTGCTTGGACCCCATCGGCGTTTAGAAGATGGCCCCGAATGATAATCTGACAGTGGCCAAATTGACATTTCTTGGAGTTTAGCCCAGCTGTTCGGAAGACTGAGAATTGCCGCGAGATGGGTCAGGTGAATATCGAAAGTAGGTGAAAAGACTTTCACATCGTCTAGGGAACAGAGACAAGAAGACCACTTATAACCACGCAAGAGAGAGTCCATTATTCGTTCGAATGTGGCAGGGGCGTTACATAGTCCAAAAGGCACCACCTTAAACTGGTATAAACCATCCGGTGTTATCAAGGCCGTCTTCTCGCGGTCCATCTTATCGACAGAAATCTGCCAGTAGCCAGACCGAAGATCAATAAACGAGAAGTACATAGCGCCGTGCAGGCGGTCCAAAGCGTCATCAATGCGTGGTAGCGGGTATATGTCTTTTCCCATGATCTTGTTGAGGTGGTGATAGTCAACGCAGAAACGCCAGGTACCGTCCTTTTTCTTCACAAGGACGACAGGGGAAGCCCAAGGACTACTTGATGGTTCTATGACACCTTTGTTGAGCATTTTGTCAACTTCCACTTGGATAAATCTGCGCTCAGTGTGGGAGACACGATAGGGGTGTCGGCGAATGGGACTGGCGTCACCAGTGTTTATACGGTGCTGAACGGTGGACGTTTGCCCTAGAGGTCTGTCGTCAAAATCAAAAATGTCGGTATATGACGCGTGAAGGCGATGGATGTCGTTGGCTTGTGCAGGATAGAGGTAGGGTGCAATCATCTTCGAGAAAGGATTCGGCATAGAACAGATGCTGTTAGCTACAGGAGAGTGAAGTAAATAAATATCGGTGTTGAGAGCCGCTATTTCGAATTCGTCAGCATTGAATACGCTGGCCAAGAACATGCCACGAGAAAGCACTTGAGGGCAAAAGCTGAAATCGAGATGTGGGAGCGAGGTACAGTTGTCAGTGACAGTCACAAGCGTATGGGGACTGGCTATGTTGCGCTCCAAGAGGGCATCGACGAGAGGAAGGAGAACATATTGACCATCGGGAACCTGTGGCTGTGTGGTCAAAATGACGTAGGTGGCTGCCTGAGGTGACAGTCGCACATCCTGAAGAGAGCAAGCACAGGCGCGGCGAGGCAGTGTGGTGTTCAGCGACTATCTGAGGCAGCTCTAGCTGAAGGACGCCGGAAGCACAATCGATAAGAGCAGAATGATTCGACAAGAAGTCCAGGCCTAGGATGACGTCATAAGGGCAGTGGCCAACCACGGCTAAAATGACAAAAGCAGTGTGGTCCTTTATACTTAAGCGAGCAGTGCACAGACCGAGAATTATCGGCCACACGGAGCATTTGTGCAGCTGCTGGTGTCAGAACTCTCATTAAACGTGTGGGTAGGCTTGAAATCATGACCGAAATGCTTGTGCTGGTGTCTACAAGTGCTTGTACAAATACACCATCTACTTCAACGTCTATTACTCTTCGCCTGGTGGGAACAGAGAGAGGATTTGCTGCAAAAGTCGTCAATGCAGCACCACATTCGAGGGCTGCATTTCTCAGTTTTTTAAGACCATGGGCTGGAAGCCACGGGGAACGAGAAGCGCCGTGGCTGCGGCGAACGGGACGATGGGCGGCGTATTTGCGGCGAACAAGACTGGTGCCCACGTGGTGAAGGCGAGTGGCTGTACCAAGTGTTCAGAGAATGGTCAACGGCATGGGACTCTTCGACAGGCGAAAATGTGCGGGGGGTACCATCAAAATGGGTCATGCAGTAAAAGCTCGTTAACTTGGATCTCACGGGATCGGAGAAAATGTCCGAGTTAACCGAATTTCGAATTATCGAATGAACCATGAAAACAAAAGGCAAACGTACACGGCACAGACGAACCTTTATTTCTTAAAGAAGTGCGTTATTTTTACCTGCCTCAACGTGAGAATTTCTGACAGAACGATTTTATTTAATCCCATCACGTGGTGGTGTGCACGTTCACTGTCGTGAGAACAAACGCAGAACTCCTCGTGGACAGTGAAGGCTTCGGCGGCCTCCTGCACGGTGCGGTGACGTCGCGTCGGCTCATCATGTTTTTCAATATCATAACG